TAAAAACCACGGACAACTCTGAAGGACCGAAAACCAGGGTTCAGGATACTGTAATCAATGGCCTGATAACCAGAATACTCTTAATAAAATTGTTTTGGGAAAAATGAAGACAGATTCGCATATCTTTCCGAAAAACAGAATGGTCTTTCCTGTTTGGCTATTCAGGTTTTAGGTAGTAATTATATATAGCACTAAGTTAAATGATATATAGCTAGTCATATATAGATAAGTTAACTATAAACATATATGTATAATACTTGTTGAGTATATATGGCACTGCCTTAAAAAGTTTCATAGAGTTAGAGTAGTAGTTCAAATGATTAAATGGTTAATGCTACTGTAATTGTACTGAAAGCATATATTTCAATAAAAGATGTGGAGACCGAACACAGCTAATCAAATACATATGTGAGTATTTAATTAGCAACAGAATACAAAATAATAAACAGGAACACAACATGAACTTTAATCATTTAATCAAAAACTATTATATACAAGCTAATGGAGCCTTGGCACGTTAGCTCAAGCCTCTGTCTTTGGACAAGCTGACAGCAACAAGCCGATATGTAAGTTTCTTAGATATAGCTTTATTTACATATAGTAAACTATATACAATACACAAAAACGGGATATGTATAAAGTATTTAAAAGTTAATAAAGCAAGGCCCAGCTGGTGTTTAAAAATAAAATTACTACACACAATAATCATCATTTTTCTCTCCAATAATTCAAAAGATTACTATTTCTTTTCCAAATATCCAAAGCTTACCAACAAAATATTTGCACCACCACCTATCAACCACAAAGAAAAATATAAACTTCTCTACTTTGTTACCATCTCAAATATATATAATATAATTCAAACCTTATGAATCTCTCATACCTTTTACAAATTCACTTTCACAATTCTAAAAATACAATCAACAAATTCACACCTTCTGCAAATTAATATAATAGACACTTTACTAATTCAATACATACTAACAGACCTAAACAAAAATCCTATTCCCTCAACAAAACAACATCTCAAACAAATAAACAAAACTATCTGATCTATAGAAATAATCTTCTCATAATAAGCAAAAACAACTTTCAACCTAGACCTTTTATTACTTACAAATACACTTAGCTTCTTAAAAATAACATCAATTCCAACTACACAATACCAATAAAAAATTTACAATTTCTGTCTTAAAATTTTATCAAATATACTTCCAACCAAATTATATTTTCATATCACTTCACTACAAATTTATATAAATAACACTTGTCCATGTTGCAGTTTATTATCAGAAACTATTTATCACTTATGACTATGTAAAGAAAACATATTTGCAATTAAACAAATCCACAATGACATGCAAATTCTTCTTACTAAAAAATTCAAAAACAACAAAAATTTTAATATCAACTTCACAAACAAATTTATTGACAATACTATTTACTTAATTAACTTTACAATAGATACATTTCAACTTAAAGATTTGTTCAACAATCTAAAACCAACTTAACAGAATCTAAAATCTCTAAATGAATTACAAAATAAAATATTGGAACTTTTATATCTTCATGTCTGGATTCCAAGAAACAAAGAAATGATTGCAGAAGAAAAATTTCTCAACATTTCACAAAACACCAAATACAAAAAAAATAATAATAATAATAATAATAATAGCAAAACACAAAAAAATCTGAATAAGCAACAACAAAACATAAAGAAAAATCTAACAAATACTAATACTCCAATACAATAAAACAAACTAACCAATATTATACTTACACTCTTTTTATAAAATTTATTCATGCCCTTTCAGGATAAAATAAATTATTAAGGAGGCATTAGTACTCCAAGATTAGGTAGTTTTTTTTTTTTCCTTGCTCAAAGGTTTTTTATCAGAAATATATCTAATATGATAATAGGCTGACATGTATAGCAATGTATCTCATATCTTAATATTGATTATATACAAATATTATTTTATTTTACTCTATCAATAAAGATTATGAGAAATGCCTCACTTAATATTAAAAAAATAAAACAATAATAAAACAACAAATGAATTAATATATAAGCTATATAAAATAAATATAAAATATGGCTTAAAACAAAAGATAAGAAGAAAATAAATAGAAAATATATATATATTAACTTGTCACTATTAAAGATTATCAATTTTGATATCAACTAACAAGATTATAATAGCATAATATTTAAGTATTTATAATACAAACTTTAAATAATAAATTAATAATAAAGAAAAAAAACTGAATATAAAAAAATTTAATTTTTATGGTGACCTGTGGGTCCATAGTACAGTGGTTAGTGCTCCGCAGGTCAGATCACAAGATACCAGTTCAATCCCATGTGAAGGCAATTGAATAGATTAACATGGTATCTGGCGCCATGACCAATTATGCGCCGTTTCCCATAAGAAGCCGTTTCACATGCTGATACAGCAGGCATTGGGATTGTGATCTCCCCGTTAAGGTGTAGTGGCGTGACGATTGTCCGGTTGGTGCTACGATGATTGTCTAACGAAAAGAAGGTATCATATATTTGGATGTACAGACTGGGCTGTACTCCATCTTAACCAACCCTTATTAGCTCCTAATACAACAACACATTTGGATGTACAGATTGGGCTGTACTCCATCTTAACAAACCCACACGACACTCTTCAATGGTGGTTGGAATCCTAGCTTGGGCTATCCCAATCCGGTGCAAAGCTTAAATGGTGGTACCAGCCGCAGGTGGTGACAAGGATCATGGCTTGTATGAGCCCAGAATTGGTGCAAGTTATGGTCTGAGGGCCAAGCGATAAGGTGACAGAGGTACCTGGACCAACTTCCTTAATCAAGACTCCTCAAAGACAAGATGAACCAATGGGTTAGATAGTTTAAAACTGGTGGCAGGATTTCTACACTCCATAGGTTTCAGCCTAGTATCATGGTGGTTATCATTTCAGGTGATTAGAAACCAGGGTATTAGAAGTAAGGTGATGTGTAAGGGATAATCTGCATAGAGTATATAATGTACTGACTTGTATAAGTCCTCAGCTGTAAATGAAATTGTTAGGCCGTTGCAGCCTTAAATGATATAATTGCTACTTTCAATAAAATCAATGTGGCGATCGCACTTAGCACCTTAAAAAAAAAAAAAAAAAAAATTCTGAATTAAATATGAATTCTAATTATTTACTATATATTACTTAGTAATTCTATCATAATATGATTTTTGAAAAATGGTTGAATTCAATTCCACTATATATATATAGTAGATATTAAAATTGTAATTTTCAGAAAAGATATTATAATATAATAATTATCTGGTGATATTACAATAATTATTGAAAAAAAAATAGAAAAAGATATATAAAATATCTGGTTTCAAGTAAAATAATTTAATGATTATTTTTTTATAATATCTAATATCTTTTCTTGCAAGTTATCAAAAAAAATTTTTTTATAAAGTTCTATTTATTACAAATAAATACTATTTCCAGTTCCTTTTCTTTCCTTCTCCTTATAATATTTATAATTAAAAATAGAATTTAATATATAATAAAGATATTAATAATGATTTAGTATATTATTCTTGACTTGTCTAAAAACACATTAATAGTAATAAGTTAATATGGAAATAAAATCTAATATAGCCTAGCAATATATAAAATATTTCATAGATAGTAATTATCTGTATAAAAATAAGTAAGATATACAGTATATATGAATTAAATAAATTTATATTAGTAGAATCCAGCTAGTCAAATTAAAAAACAAAAAAAAAAAAAGAATATATTTTATTTCAATTTGACAAAAATTCAAGTTTATTTATTTATTTTGAAAATAATTAAAAAAAAAGTCTTGAAATTAATTATTGGTTAAAAGAAGCAATAATTTTAAAAGATTATTATTTTAAAAAAAAATCATCAATAAAAAATCAATATTTTTTTGATCAAAAGTTTTCAAGTATAAAATTTCAAGAAATACTTTTTAAAAGTACTTTTAAACAAAATCGCACATCTAATGCTCATTTGCAAAAAAAAAAAAAAAGTACTTTTAAACATTTTTAATTAATTAAAATTTTAAAGAAAATCAAAAAATACAGTTAATCACAAGTAATAGAAAATAATTTAAAGATATTAATTATTAAATGACTTTTTTGAATTTTTTTTTGACATATTTAGTTTAGTTTTAGTATTTTTTTTTTCAAAATTTTTAAAAGTATACTATTAAGATACATATAATAACTTCAAGAAATATTTTGAATTTTAATGTTTTTTCTTGAACAAGCAAACTTTCTATTCCTTTTAACTATTTCTTGAAATCTTAATTGGTTGTAGTCAGGGATACTAGGCTTGGTAGGCTTGTATAATAACTTCAATATCTTTTTAATCTTTGATTTTCCAGTATTTGACAAGTATGTGGCACTAACACAATTAAATGAACTAAAAAAAAAAGAATAGTAACATGTTATATAATAAAAATTTTTGTATTTTTTTAAATTAATTTTTAATAATCTAATATAAATATTTATTAATATATTTTTTCCAATTTGCTAATAAAAATTTCATAATGTTAATGCAGCAAGTTTTTTATTTTTTATTAATAAAATTATTTAAATCAAATATTATAAGAAACGTTATGAATCTTCTGTTTACTGAAAAATCAGTTGTAAATTTAATAAACACTTTATTTCACCTTGTTATGCGTAGGCATTTGTTATTGTTGAAATTAGTCGCAATCCACTGTTTAGCCCTCGATTGACAACATTACCTAAGAGCAAACTGTGTTTTAAGAATTGTTTTATTATCAAATAAATTCTTTAATATAAACATGTAAAATAATTGACTAAATTCACAAATAAAAAAAGTGATTTGATTTTTAACAAATGACATTGATTGGTTTCTATATTTAAAGGGTAAAATCGCTATCGATACTAATTTTTCAAAACGTGATGGGAATGAATATACAGAAATGACAGAAATGTCCTTGATAAATTAATTCATTGTTGACTCTATCTTTTTAGGATTTCGTTTAGCAATGGCTTTAGGTTTATTATTGGCAAATAAAAATTTAGATATTGATTCTATCAACCATGCCCCAAAAAAGTCGAAAAGTATAGTGGCAGTGAGATGAAGCTTGAACTGAATTTAAAATAAGAAAAAAGAGCATATAAATACAACAACATTTGGTGACATTTTATATATATATATATATTAAAAAAAAAATACCTCATCCTTGAGTGGAACCAGTTTCAACATTGAATTCATTTCAGGAACTACCGGATTAAGATGTTAACATAAATATCACGAACTAAAGTTTGCGTCATGAAACCCGAAAACAATTCTTACCAAATTCCGTAGCGCCACATAAAGCGACGGAACCAACAGAAAGCAAACCGTAATAAAGTGCGGTATTTTCTTTCAAACTTTCCCTGAAGGGATGTCCCTAATAGCAGATAAAAAATAATAGTGTTATTAATTAAAAGAATGGAATAGATGCAATTGGATTTTTATATTTACCTGATAGTTGATGGCGAATGTAGAAACTTGCATGGACAAGGATATTAAATAAACCGCAGTATTTAGTAAACTGGGTTCAAATTCACCTTCTAAGTCAACTGTCTTCTTTCTACAAGGTTTGATCAAGTTAGATGGTCAGTGGTGCAAAAGAAAAAAAAAAGACAAATACGTACTCTTCATAATGAAAAACCAAATCGACAATATATATCAGCGAGGCAATATGAATTGCAAATTGTCCAAGAATAGAAAGTATGATGTAAAAGTTAAATACGTTGCTCTGCGGTCGTTGCCTAGAAAGTTTCTCTAAAGGCTAAAAAATATGGCGAACTAATGATGAGCAAATGGATGTCTACCAGTAGAATATACTTGAAAATAATATTCGAAGGCACGAATTACCTTTGCTTTTGATATACAAAGAAAGCATACAGCCAACAGCATGCCAGATATTGTAATTTGTCTAGTGATATGGTAAAAAGTAATGAATATTAAAAAATCAAAATAGAATCCAGAATACATCAAGGTTATTCAACCTCTTAAGGACTTACAGGTCACCATGTTTAACACCTTCCAAGTATAGGACACTTAAACTGTAGGCCGAAATCAAACAGTTAAGAGCCAGAATTTTATACATCTGAATAGTGGCGACCAGTGTGCAACGGCCTTGGCGTACAATATTTGTGACTATAAAATAGAG